ATTAATAAGTTCATGCCTTTCTGATTTACTATTACTTATGATATGATAAAAAATAATCTCTGAAAATGTCTGAAGCAAGCATCAAACACCAATAATAAGTCTTTTCTTTGTAAAATAATAATAGTGAAATATTTTTGAAGTAAAATTTCTGGTATATTTTTAGCAATAAATAGTTTATTAAAATTTTTCATATATTTAGAAAAGAATATTAATTTCAAAAGTTTTTAAAATCAAAATTAATGAATAAATTTTCTTACCGTTGTTGAATTTCGTAGTGGATGTGAAGTTGCTGTTGCAGCAAAAATTAATATGAATAGAAGCATGTGGTGATACCAGGAATAGTAGTGGTACAATTGGTGTAAGTAATGGTAGTAATATCTGATAAATACTGTAGTTAGGAAATTATTCAACCAAAATGTAATAACTTTCAATTGTAGAAGATAAGAAAGAGCGTAGAACCAAAAATAGTAGCCAAATTGTTTAGAAAAAAAATACATTTCTGAATATACTTGGGATATGATCCATTTTCGAAAATTCTTGAACAACAAATATCAATAATAATTACAACAATTTGTTATTCTTACTGATCTTCGGGAATTTTCTCTCCCTCCCTTCCTCTCCTTCTGGATTTCTTGATAGATTTTGACTTTGACTTACTTGCGTTTTTTCAATTTTCACTTCACAATGATTGAAATTTCAGTACACAATTATGAAAATTTCAAAATTTGCATAAATTATGCAAAATATCCCTCTTCTTCTAGTAATACTAATTAAATGGTTTTACTAATTAGTAAGTTATCAGAATTTGATAACTTTCTTTTACTAATCAGTAAGTAATCAGAATTTGATAATTTTCTTCTGCAAACAATTGTAACAAAGCAAAAGTTTGCAATTTTATTGAAAAGTAAGTTTGAGCGAAGTTTCGAATTAATTGTTTTGAAGTGATAATTGGCTGGCTTTAAGAAAGCAAAAATTAGGAGTTAATTAGTTAGTATAATAGAAGAAAGAGGCGCTCAACAATTGCCCACAACCTTAGAGAAAAGGTTTTGGGATTTGAAGTGAGTCCGATGCTGTGGGTAGTTGCATCCGAAAAGTTACCCCGGGCGTACAATTTCAATTTCTGGGCGGGCAATTTACCCTCCTCTGACATTTGTACGACCAATTTGCATACGCACACACAGACCCACACTACAGACCCACACACACACACACACACACACACACACACACACACACA